TGAGCACCTTAAATGTATATCACATACGACCCGACACATAGACTGTATATTCCTCACCATTTCAGACAGTACTACGTTAAATAAAAGAAATATGTGCATCTTATTTCTCCTGCTTGTTGTCATCGAATAATCTTAACGGCGAAAATGTATAATAAAGTATTGTTGCAACACTATGGTCCTTAAGTAATAAAATAAAGAGAGAAATCTAACAAGTTTAGTCACATTCGACAAATAATTTAGTTCCATAGACTGCGAAGTAAAAATTAACACACATTATTGTGAATTAAATCTCAAATGTTTTTAAACATTCTTTCTCATCTCTAAAAGTATAGACCGTTCCGAATAAATTGCAGTGGTGTTCTGAGTGAAATCCAATTTTGAATGTCTTATTGTACCAATATCTTAAAATGTGAGGATGTACTTATGGTCTTGATGTATTACAATTATACAATCCAGAATGTCTTTAAATGAATTCATATTAATTCCAATAAATACTCGTAATGAATAAATCAACTTAAATTTTAACTAAACATGACTAAAAGATTATTTCCATTAGAGATGTTAAGATAAGAATTAATAATTCTGAAGCAAACAACCTTGGTATAAAAAACTAAACCACAATAAAGGATGCAGGAAGACGATCAAAACTTCATTTCCAGAATTTTATAAGCTCTAACTAAGGTCAGGTCTTTTAGTAAATTTTGCTATAGACCATGACAAATATCAGATAGACCAGGAATTTCCAAGGGGAAAAGCAATGTACTGAACTCACATCCAAGTAAAAATGCTTTATAAAATATTACATTAGTCACGTAGACATAAACTCCTACCCTCAATTATGGACAAAGGTCAATCAAACAATACAAACGAAATTTGCATATCAGCATTTAAATGTAATAGCTCTGTAGCAATAATGACATTTATAATTCTTTAACACGTTGAGCATTTGTATGATCCCGAAAACCTTGTTTTGTTGTTTAGTGTTCCTGCGATTCATTATAATCAAGTACTTATCTTCTTTACTTTTTCATAAAAATAGCCCAAGTCATGAATTGATGAAATACTAAAGATCTTGCTCATTATGTTAAATTGTTTCATATTTATGCTGTTGTTTGCTGTATTAGAATTTTTACCACATGTAATGATATCCATATTTAGACAAAAGTTTAATTTTGAAGGTAATTATGAAACCTGCATTCCGATATAGCTAATGTTAAAAGCCAGAGAGATTTTCCGCATCCTGCTGATACCTGATACCGTCCAAATTGCTTAAACTGATTTTGCCAGAATTTAATATCAAACTAGGGCTGGATGAGATCAAGTTGGGGGCGGCGTGGTGGGGGTGTCCAAAATTTCAAAGGGTCCTGACTTACTTCAAAAGGCACCAAATCAAAGTCTATGTATCTATTCAAATGTGCATACTACCCAATAAACACGCGCCAAAAATAAGGCTGTGTTTACTTCAAAAGGCACCAAATCAAAGTCTATGTATCTATTTATCCAAATGTGCATACTACCCAATAAACACGCGCCGAAAATAAGGCTATGGTCAAATTTGAAATGACAAGTGACTGTACGTTTGTGTGTGTGTGTGTGTGTGTGTGTGTGAGAGAGAGAGAGAGAGAGAGAGAGAGAGAGAGAGAGAGAGCGAGAGAGAGAGAGAGAGAGATAGCGAGAGAGAGAGAGAAAGAGCTAGCGAGAGAGAGAGAGAGCTAGCGAGAGAGAGAGAGAGAGAGAGAGAGAGAGAGAGAGAGAGAGAGAAAGAGCTAGCGAGAGAGAGAGAGAGAGAAAGAGCTAGCGAGAGAGAGAGAGAGAGAGAGCTAGCGAGAGAGAGAGAGAAAGAGCTAGCGAGAGAGAGAGAGAGAGAGAGAGAGAGAGAGAGAGAGAGAGAGCTAGCGAGAGAGAGAGAGAGAGAGAGAGAGAGAGAGAGCTAGCGAGAGAGAGAGAGAGAGCTAGCGAGAGAGAGAGAGAGAGAGAGAGAGAGAGAGAGAGAGAGAGAGAGAGAGAGAGAGAGAGAGAGAGAGAGAGAGAGAGAGAGTGTTTTTTGTTTTGTTAGCGGGGTAGGGGTGGTCCCGAGGTCCTGGAAAATTTCGTCCCTTCTCATCTGGCCCTGCACAAAAAGCTTTGCCGTAATTAACACAATCAGTACTATTACAGTCTAAGATGAAGTTTTCGAACCGTTTAATGCATTGTATGCTTAAAAAATGTTCACGGTATAAGACTTTTTCAATAAATATGTCTGTAATGTCTATATTACATGTAGTATTAAATCGAGTTGAAGATCAAGAGTAAGTTGAACTGTATGTAAATAAAAAAAAACTTTTTTCCATCACTTAATTGCCATTATTGTAATATGAAACACTCTCTTGCTGTTTCCGAATGTTTCTTTCTTTTCTTCTTTTTTCTTTCACGGCTATTTTATCGCCCTTCCACAATTACATTTAAGTACAAACATAGATGATTTCCTATACATACTAATGAGCCATACAAATTCCACAACCAAACCTATGTGTATATGCATAATACTGACATCGTTGGTACGTTTCTCCGCGCTGTTTCCGTCTTCTCTATTTATTTTTTTTTATCCTTTACATTTCCAACAATTTACAAATTTCTATTTGCTGATCAGATAAAATTTATAGCAGCTGATACATGACGTATTTGAAACAGCAGTAGGGGTTTGGATAAATTAAGCAATCGTTTTATTATAGCATACTTCTGCATTGTCTAGGCTGCCTCGTTCTCAATAGAGAAATTGTTTTATTAGGGCCTACTTGTGTATTGTCGAGACTGCCTCGTTATGAGTATATATATAAATCATGTTCTTATAACACTCTTGTGTATTTTCCATTGTGCCTCGTTACGAAGTATCGCTGTTAGCCGAAGGATGTGGTCTATAATAGCAAATATCTTACCACTCCTATTTATCCAAAATCCCCATTAAAATGGATAGAAATGAAAATATCGAACCAAGATAGTCAGTCGTTTGTTGACATGTCAATACAATCCTACTTGTCATATAGTGTACCAAGAAAACAGATCGAGAAAAAAAAATGATCTAACAACTTTAGCCAGTCATGAAAAATGGGGAACTAACGAGATAGTAACATAAAAACGGACTAACAACTCTAATCATAGTAGTGTATGGGGCCATCTTAGCCTCAAAAGGGACATATGTTAAAATAGTGGGGTTATAAGTTACGGACAAGGGGGATTTAACATGGGGAAATTTAACATTGGTGGGACTAGAGACGGACAATGAGACTTTAACATTGGAATACAGGGACACTTTAGTGACAATGGGACCCTAATGTTTAAAATGGATATATCAAAATTGTCTACAATAGAACTTTAACATGGGCAATACAGGTCGGCTAGGTGTCGACAATAGAACTTTAACATGAAAATACAGGGTTATTTTAACCTCAAGGAGACTTCTGTATTTAATAGCGGGGTTTTACCCCACGGACAAGAGGAATTTAACATGGGGAAAATATGACATGGGTGGGACAATAGAAGGACAATGAGATTTTAACATGGGAATGCAGGGTCACTTTAGCAACAATGGAAACCTAATGTTCAAAATGGCTGTATCAAAATTGGCGACAATGGGACTTCAACATGGAAATACAAGGCAGGCACTATGGCGACAATGCTACGGGGGGGGGGGGCTCACCAGTTATTATTTACTTTTGAAAGAGTGACTTGTGTAAGGTGATGTTATTTTCATTTAAAACATGCACATTGGAGAAAAAAAATTTGGCATACCTCTGTGCTACTTTGATGTAATGTGGCTGACTGTACTTTTGGAAATTGCAAATTATATTAGCACACTGCTAGCTAAATGACTGCTCCCTTGTGCTCAAAAAAATCAACCTGAAATTGTCTAAAGTACACTATCCTTAGCAGCTATTAAAATAGGGAAAATTAATTTTGCCAGACTAGACAATACGATCTTCCGAAAGTGCAATGAATGAATTACCAAATATATAAAATGTAAGAAAACGTTATCGGCTTTTTTTAAATTTACCTGTGAGTTGAGAAAGCGAAAATGACCATGTGTAGCTAGCAAGTTTTTGAAGGATGCACATCTGGAGCAAAGCCAAGAAGTATGCTCTATAACCCATATCACACCCATCAATCGTACACCAATTAAAGGGATTTTAATGGTTCTTTTGAACATACCTACGATATACAAGCTTTTTAAAACAGACTAGTAGGGAAATCCAGGGGAATTCTTTTTCTTTAAAAATCTAACCTATGCAACTTTAGTGACAATGAGACTTTAATGTTAAAAATGGGTATATCAAAATTATGAATGGAAATTTACCATGGGTAAATTTAACATGGATTGAATGGGGAATTGAACATATAAACAAGAGATTGGGGCACCCTATGGACAATGGGGACTTCTATGTTAAAATAATTGCGTTCGCACTTTAACGTCAAGGGGAATTTAACATAAGAAATTTTAAAATGGGTGGGTCTGTTTAGCGTCAAGGGATTGGGAGTGTATTGGAAGTAAATTGGAACAATTGATTGAGACTGTATAGGGTCAAAGAATTGAACCTAGGGGGTGTATAGCGATAATGGAAATCTCAGTCAAAAAGATAGCGGGCAACTCTGGCGACAAGGAAAATTTAACATGGGAATATATTGGACCTGTCTAGCGACAAAAATATTGGATATGTTTAGCCACAAGGGAAATTTAACATAGGGATGTATAGCGACAATGGATGGGGACTGTATAGGGACAATAGGAGTCCGTGATTTAGATTTTTAATATAGCTTTAACAAGTTTTCAGTCATATCGCTACGATGTCTGCAGTGCGGCAGTTTATACTGATGTCTAGCACTGGAGAATCATGCAACAGACATGAAGCATGATGTCCCACCGAGTCACATTATCCTGACACCAGTCCAACCATTCCTAACACTAGCCTCTTAATGTTGAGGGCCTAGCGAGGCAGTTGTTAGTACCATTTTTTAAAAGTCTGGTATGACTCGGCCGGGATTCGAACCCCCGACTTCTTGCGTCCGAGGCGGACGCTCTAACCACTAGGCCAGCGGAGCGGTCTGGGACAAATAGAAATGGAACAGGTAGGTGATGTCATCGTACTGGACATTTGCAAAAATTCTTCATTGTACTGGACATTGGTAATACAATTAAATCAGTTTTAAAAACCGGTTTAGACAAGTTACTGTTTTATCTAGGTTCTACCCTGTTCATATTCCTTTTATTGTCTACCCTGTTCATATTCCTTTTATTGTCTACCCTGTTCATATTCCTTTTATTGATTCAAGTTTAGTACAACACATATACTTAATGAAAGAACCTTTTGTTAAATTTCTCAATCGATGCTCTTAAGCTAGGCAACTTGCGTGCGAATGGACATAATGGTTGCTAATTGATGTTGCACTTTCCAATAGGTATAGTAAACTGAATTCATTCAGTATCCCAGGCTGTAACAATACTCATGTATTTCACCATCTGCTATTTATGTCCTGAGTTTGTATTATTATAGGACTATTCTCCTATTTATTGTGTATAAACAATTGTCAATTTAATATATATATATATATATATATATATATATATATATATATATATATATATATATATACGCTCGCACTTGAAACCATAGATGATCGACGCGAGCTTAATGTTGAAAAAAGCAATAATCTGAAGGGGAAAATTATACTTAATCTTATGTCAGTACTGCCATAGCTGTAATCTGAGATCATTTTGTCACTCAGTAAGATGAGGGTTTTTTTCCTTCAAATTTTTTGCTTTTTTAATTTCAACATCAAGCTCGCGTCGAGCACTTGTGCTTCAAACTGACCAGAGAGGGAAACTGAGTTGTCTTTCTTTTTTACATTTATTATAATTTCCCATCCCTGTATAGTAATATAGTATAACATTGTGCAGTTATTTCCCAGAATAGTCTTAATCATGAATATTCAAGGATAGATGTAAACATGATTGTTTTTTGCAATGAATCTATCCACCAAATAACCCAACATACATAATCATTTTACAGTTTTAAAACGTTGTAATTGGCAAAATTCTAAATAACTCAATTTGTATAACAACGTCACGTGTTACCCTGAGGTCACCATGTCGTATCATTTACGTGTCTAGTGCCCTATACGCCAGAGATTATAGCTGACACACTTGTACTGTAACCTCCTAGACTGGGTACTCTGGAATATATATTGGACTAATGCGGAGCACTTTAGGTAAGAAGCAGTTTTATATTATATACGCTTTGTGATAAGTTTAAAAATTTCTGGCTCGTAAGTTTTGTACAAAAGGGTTAACAATTTGATCTAGATCATACGGCTTATGTACTTTGATAAAATGTAATATATGTCCTGAATTCAACCCTAATCTGGCACGACTGTAAAATGCCACGGGAGACTTGGGAGCGATGGATTCATAAACCTTGGGTACTGTTTGTGAGGAATGTTATTTTGGCCGAATTTTTTTTACGTACAATACATTCGGATTAAGCACAGTGTGTCATTCTAGCTTGCTGTAGGAAGATAGTAGCATTTAAATGTTGGAGTAGTAAGAACACACCATATAGCAGCATATACAGGTCTTGAGTATTAAGCTTATAGTAAAAGGCGTGAGAACGGCTCCTTACTTTTTTGCACTTGTTCGTTGCCTGACGCCACCCCCACCCCATCCGCATCCAAGTAACACGCATTCCTTCATTTTATTGCTTTTCTCATTATTTTAAACAACAACACCGCCAGTGATACTATACTATGTTTCCTTAAAAAAAAAAAAATCAGTAGATTGCGAGGCTAATCTCGGTCCACAACGGAGTCGGTCCATTACAGATAGTCTGGTCTCCTGCTTAGTATGCTCCCTGCGATGCACTCCGCTATACTAAGTCAGGCGAACGCCGACACCATATTGTCACGTGATCATAACAAAATGGCCTTGTATGGAGAGATCCCGTTAATCTAACCCTGGCACATTTATTCCTTTAATATTCTGTTTGTTAGGGACACAATGCGAACTTTACTTATACTTTCTATATAAAATATAGCAGTCGTTATCTTACGTTCAAGCTTAACCAGCAAATCGGTGAATTAGGTATTTTAACAAATATTTCTACAATTAAGCGAAGACCAACTAGAGGGATGAAGACAACATTATTTTGTAAATTTTGCACTTTTCCCACCACATTATCTGAAAAATTCCTTTTCCAATCGATTCCTTGATCAATTTTACGTAGAAATTGATATGAGGTTATGCACGGTAGCTTTAATTTTGCCCAAGATTAAGACAAAAATAACTTCCCCATTTTACCACTGGTGAGGGTAACGATTGTATTGCAAATATTGCCTATTTTACACTACGTCATCTAAAATAGTCCAATTGCAATGAATTCCTTGAGGTAACTCAGCAACACTCATTTTCTTTTAATGAAAAATGTATACATCTCGTGGTATATCAATTCGTTACGGGTGTAATGTGTACGATGCCACGAAATATATTGATACAGAATAATAAAATAATGGAATTGAATTGAATCATGTGTGGTCTATGTCAACATACATAGTAATCAAATCGGATTTTATTTTGTACTGGCTTGATTACAACAATAAACCGCTTTTGTTGTGATTTCTAGTTTCATTGCCCTTTCTGCTTGTTCGAAAACCAATCAAATGCCAACTTATTTCTTAGCTTATTATTCATATTTTTGTTGTCTGAAGCCCATCTCACAAGGAACATATGTAAATCAGAATAATCAGCGTGATTTCTGTCAAAGTACTAAATTTATTATCTTGTTAACGAGAACTTTAATTTGAAAAAATATTAATTAGCAATGTTTACAAATTTCTGAAATTGCAATTTAAAACCAAATTAATGCCACTTGGACTCCTATCAATTTACTCACTGGTCATGCATATACTATATAACCCAACAGGGTAGGATGCATATCTCATATGGCGCAAATTAGTTAGAATGAGAGCTAATATTTCAAACCAGAATTTGGGTTTCATAATAAATTAGTTACAGAAGTTTAGCCCAGACATTTGTATGTCTATACGAAGTTTGATTTAATGTCATTCGTTTGAATAGTGTCATACCTTTTTAGCCGCACTACCACTGGACATAGCCAGTAAAATTTCAGCAGCGATCTGTCCTGGAACACTACATTCTTGGACCTTTTTGATGACGCTTGACTATTCTCAAATTCGTTCTTTTTAGATCAGATGTGGTTGATGTAATTTCAAACCTGGAAGACGATAGAATAATTCGAGAACTTTGATGTTCCTACGCGAATGAATATGTGATAATTCGATAACCTTGAACAATACATTACAATAGATATTCAATAATTTTGAACAGTGATTAACTCACTGATTCAGATTATTTGGTTGGCACCTGTTGTAGGATTGGGTAGATATCAGCAATCTAAGATATCAGCAATCTAAACATCTGGACCATTTAGGGCACAACATAATCCTGTACGAACCAAGGATTATTGTCGCATTTTGTTGATGTTGATAATAATCTTTCTACGGATCGTGATGTTGTTGGTACTAATGCTGCTGCTGATGAACGTGTTGCTATTGTTGACCTTGGAATAAACATTTTAAACAATATGAAAACAAAATCTGCTAATCAGGATGGAATCAACAATGGTTATGTTCTGAGCTACTTTTTCTCATCCGCGAGACTAACCTTAAAAACGTATCTCCATTCTGCTGTCTCAGCCAGTGGGATCTACGCCGGTATCAGAATGCTAAGGGAAATTTAATGAAGAAAGCAACACTTAATTGCTGTTTTCTTTTTAAATAAAGGGGCTTATTCAAATAAAGCAAATACCGACACTTTAAAATATTTTATGCCAGACACCAATCCCAATCACAAACAACAGTCCAGGCACAATGCAAACTTGATAACAACCAGATGCGACAAACTTGCTTACAGCTATTTGCCTAACAACATCGACCTTTCAGCCCCGACTGAATCAGTTATTAACACGCAACAAGGTATGTTAATCCCTACACTTGCCAATCAGAGGTAATCTTCAATCCGTTCAGACGTTGTTCCACACGATTTCTCTACAGCAGATCCATAGTAACAACATATATATTTTTCAGGACGGAAAATATAAATTTCCAATGCTAGTTGATTGATTAACATTAAAAACATATGTCCATTCTGCTGTCTCAGCCAGTTGGATCTAATAAGAAGTCGAAACCTCCTCACTTGCATATCATCTGGATAAAGGGCTCGAAGTGTCTTTCACGCACGGGTGAATTTGACAATAAATATAAATTAAAACACCAGTAAGTCACAAACAATTTCACATCTGATAATGAAAATAAGAGTTATATATGATAACGACGCACATTTTTGATCATCTAAGAATAATATAAGACATAGTAAATAGTTATCCACGAATAATATATGACATGACAAATAGCTATCAACGAATAACAAAACACATGGTCAATAGTTATCAGCCAATACTACAACACCTGCTCAGTAGTTATCCGCGAATAACACAACACGTGGTCAGTAGTTATCTACGAATAATACAATACATGGTCAGTAGTTATCCACGAATAATACAACACATGGTCAATAGTTATCCACGAATAATACAAGACATGGTCAGTAGTTATCCGCGAATAAAACAAGACATGTTTAATAGTTATCCACGAATAATACACGATATGGTCAATAGCTATTCACAAATAAGACAAGACAGTCAATAGTTGTCCATAAATAATACAAGACATGGTCAATAGCCATCGATGAATAAAACAGACATGATCAATAGTTATCCACAAATAATACAAGACTTGGTCAATATTTAACCATAAATAATACAAGACATGGTCAATAGTCATCGTTGAATAATACAAGACATGGTCAATAAACATAGATAAATATTACAAGACATGGTGAATAGTCATCCATGAATAATACAATACATGGTCAAACGTTATCCATGAAAAATATAAGACATGGTCAATAGTTATCCATGAATAATACATGACAAGGTCAAATGTTATCCATGAATAATACAAGACATGGT